CAACAAGACAATAAAGGACACAGAAACCCATTCAGAATGAGTCATCTTCAATGAAAGCAGACTGGTGAACAAACAGGTTATAAAAGCAGCTTGAAACTTCTCTGATGTCCTGAAATTAAAACAAAATAGACAAAATCACAAACCAACCCCCTGTTCTTATTTAAAAAGCACAGTTACACAGAAATAAATGAATAAGCAGTTTGGATTTCAAATGCTAGTGGCGAACTGACATGGTTGGTGTGTTTTGAAGATTTATTATCTATTAATTTGCAAGGTTTACATCCCACTCTACATCCAATATAACACCCCAGTGCCGAACAATCAAATGGGGAGAAAACATAATAATGTACAACGGTCTCTAAAGAGCCAGGGCACTTTAGTGGAGGGATCCATCCGGTGGCTTTTCTGCTTCCATGACTGAGGGCAGCGTGTTTTTCTCTCGTTTCACCTTCCAGGGAAGGGAGGCTTGGAAAACTAGGGAGCTAATATTTTGTTGTGAGCAGGAATGAACCTGTGGCCCTAAGACAGCACCCGGGGTTCTTGGGATTCCCAGATCTGAAGTCAGCTGCCCCATCCCAGCCAGCATGGAAGGGGCCCCATGACTGCTTCTGCAGAGCCAGCGGAAGAGCCAAAGGGCATTCTGGGAGCAGGGAAGGCCGGTGGGCAGGGCTGCATCCTGGCGATGTGCTGATCTTCTTCCCTCCCTGTCCAAGCCCTGCAGGAAGGCAGCCAAAATCAGTTGTCTAGTGGACCTGTAGGGCAGAAGGATCTGGAAGACTGGTTTTCTCCACCGCTTCCCCCACCATCCTCCAGGTTCAGAGGTAAATGGGTATCTCAGTGGAATAGCCCGAGACATTGTGAAGGGCAAGATACGAAAGCTTTAAATAAATGAATAAAATTGCACCCTATTGTATTTCTATTATTTGTATCCTGCCCTTCAGGATGCAATTCTTTCCAAGGTGGATTACAGACAAAACCAAAATACCGTAATAAAACCACCATTAAACCATCTGGAAATCAAAAGGTTAATCAGGATCCTTCCCACAGTGCGATGGTGTCAGTTTGCCCTGTGGGAACAGGGCTGCCATGGGCCACTCTGAGCAGGCCCCAAGGTCCTGCCTGCCTGCCTGCCTTCCTCATTCCTGCATTCTTGGCCTTTTGCCCCCTTGCAGCAATAACCAGTAAGGAGACAAAAATTATGTGGTTCTTCAAGACGTGTGCATGCTGCACAAGGCAGCCCTGGAAGAGACACCAAAGCATGGACTGATGTTGTCACAGCAAATTGCACATTTCTGCCAGGGTGTGTGCGCACACCCACACACGTGCATCACATGGGGCTGGCCCTACCACCAGCTGGATTGGGATAGCTGCCTTGGACGGCAGATGTGGGGCAGCAGGAAACTGTGGGAGGGCAGAGTGCCGTGCCCTGGGCAGGGTAACTTCCACCCTTGGGTGCAGTGTGGGAGATGAATTCCAGTGCCAGTGGTGGAACAGGGTCCAACTGCCAGCCTAGGCAGCTGCTGGTGGGCAGACTCTGCCTGAAAATCAGTGCCGAGATTCTGCAAGCAAAAGTCCTTTGAATGGGTTGTCAAAGGCAGCCATGAATTTAATTCTAAATAAAAATTCTAAATAAATAAATAAATAAAATAATTCTGGTAAGCGGGATGAAAGCCTTCCCGGTTGTTATTCAGAAATAAGGACTACAGTATTCCATAGAGCGAACTCTTAGGGACATGTGCTTAAATGCTGTTAATGCACCACTGGAAGACCATTAAAAAGTGCACCGTAGCAGTAAAGTCATGACTTGGCAAGAAGCGACGGGGTTGCTGGAAGCACACCCTGGATTTCCCTGCTCCTGTGAACCTTACCTTGCCAGGCCATGGGTGCAAGAAGGACATTCCTGCTTTGTCTCTGGAGCTGAAGCAAGAGGGTGGCTTTTGGAGGGAGAGGCCTCCTTGGGAAATTTGGGTTCGGAGCTGTAATGGCAGTGGTAGCCTCCAGGTGGCAGTGTGAGGGGGAAACGTGGCTTGAGAGTTGCTGTGCCAGATTGGGTCTGGCAGAATACATTTATTATTTTTATTAATTTTATTTCTATATCGTCCAACAGCCAAAGCTCTCTGGGTGGTCTATATTTTTATGATGATTCTTCCTATTCAACCTTAGGAATGTGATTTGCTTGCATTGTTATTTAAGGTAAAAAGGAGTAGGATGTGAAAAGTGAATTCAAAAGAAAGAAGAAAACACCACTTTTCCAGGTCAATAGATTAATAATCAAATTAAATTTTATTTTCCTTTTGATATGCACCAGCCACCTGCAATCAATGTAGAGAACGATGTCCTCAGGGGTTCTGTTTTCACACTCAACCCTCCCTCTTAGAAGGAGAGGTTTTAACCTGCTGCCTCTTGGTCACCCGGAAGGAGTGGTCTCTACATTCACTTTATTTATTATATTTGTATCCCACCTTTTCCCTGCAAGGAATCCAGAGCAACATACATAATCCACCTCCTATCCATTCTATCCCCACAACAACAGCCCTGTGAGGTAGGCTAGGCGGAGAGTCAGTGAGCAGCCCAAAGTCACCCAGTGAGCTCCATGGCTGAGCAGGGACTAGAACCCGTCTCTCCCAAGCGCCTACCGCTTGGTCCTAGGCGTTCCCCTAAACACTGTAGCCACTCATTGCGTGTGGGCAACAGCAGTTTCGTATAAGTTCAGGGGCCTGGTTGTTTTGCTACCTGCATGTGTCACAGCCCCTCAGAACTGCCTGCGGGCTTGCTTGGACACATGCCGAGGCAACAGCCTATATGTACAGAGCAGGGAATATCACTGTGTGCCTGACTTACTCAAAATGGATATTTCAATGAAATATTCAGCAGACTTTTCTACCACCACTGCAGTTCACTGATTATCAAACTGTTTGGCTGGCTAAGATGAAGCGTAAGATCCCCTCACCATCAGGCCATGCACGGGCCTGGCAGGACCGGTCACAGGGTTTCGCTTCAGCCGCATCCTCCACTTGCCTAAGGACAGCAGGATGGATTACAGGGTGCAGGGCAGGCTATTTGGCACATTCAGCCCTTCCTCCAACACTCCAGCGTTGCCTTGAGCTAGGGGTTCCCTCCCCAGCAAGACAGACTCTCCAGCACCTCTTGTAAGCGTCTTTAGAAGTCTTTGAGCACACATGAAGTTGAGCCTTCTTTGCCCAAAGCCTTGCTTATGTAACTTCAGGGCCTGTCTCTGGAAGACGAGGTGCTGTGGAATTGGGTTCTGCACTCTGAGCCCCTAATTGGGCCAGCCGGTCGCTGTGATGATAGGCGCTCGGGTCCACTTCCTCCGGAGGCTGGAGTTTTCCACCCAAGAGACTTTCCATCTCCAAATCCCCTCCCTCAGGATGTTATTCTTTTTCTTCATTCCCAGGGACTGGTGGATTGGGCCCCCTGGCTGGCCTTGAAGTAATCTCTTCAGCAGGTGGAGGCCTGCATGTTAGGACTACAATTCCTTTATCAGAGTTTGAGCTCTTAGCCCTGCCTAGGTCAGCCAACTCTCCTCATCCTCATCCTCAGACCTGCCAGTCTCGGCAAAGCAGCTTCTTGTACACACCTGGGAATCTTGCCAGAGTACTTACGCACTCGACGATCGTTGCCTGACCTCCCCTGGGGGGTGGTGGGGGGTGCTGCCACTGCTCTTCTCCTAGCAAGCACAACTGCCACAGGGTTCCCAGGTTGGGGCGATGAGTGTTAGGTCCAAGGAGCTCAGAAGAAAATGCCAGCTCGGTGCTTCCCACCTGGCCTGGCCCAAGTCACTTGGTTCCAGAGGGGGCAGGCATGAACACACAAGCCCTGTTCTTGGGCATCAGCACTGGCTGAAAGTCTCAGCCCACTTTAAGGTGCTTGCACTAAACGGTTTGGGACCTGGATATCTAAATGCACGTGTTCCCCATATACCTAGCAGATTGGGGAATGCAAGGAGATGTGGGGCACTTTTCAGTCTAAGTATGCAGAGGATTAATCACGAACGCTTAGCTGCTGCTGCTTTGACTGGCAGGGATATAAGATCTCTGTCCACAAACACCCAATATGCTAACGGATATTCCTAAGGAGCAAAATTACAGTGATCTACCTGGGTTTGATACACAACAAAATAAAGTATTGGGGCAAATAGCTGCCACGTTTTGTTGTGGTTATGTGCTGTCAAGTCATCACCCAACTTAGGGAGACAAGGAGCAACTTACGGAGATGGGAAGCTCTCCAAAATGTCCCATCCGTGACAGCCCTGTACAGCGACATTTTATACAGAGAGACACAGAGAGCAACGTGGATTGAAGAAGTGGGGAAGACGGGAGCTCTGCCTCTCATCAAATTCCTGAAAAAGAAATCCCACACACGCTTCTTTCCGAAGCAGGCAAGGAGGGCGAGCCCTGTGTCAGCGGGAGCGCCCCCTTGCCCCGCGCTTGGTGGGAGCTATCCACGGTCCTGAAACCATTTGGTGCCTGGAGCGCTCCTAGGACTCTCGGGACGAAAACGGGGGGGGGGGGGGGGGGGGGGGATCCCCGCGGCCCGGGGGCCATCGCCTCCCCTCCCGTACAAGAAGCCCGCTTGCTTTCGGTGGAGCGATCCCTCCGGTTCAGCGCCCACTTGGGGGCTCGGCTCCCCTGGGCTTTTCCTGCAGGCGAAAGCGTCTTTCCTCCCGGGGGCGGCGCGGGTGCCGCCGCTGCCTGCGCCTGAGCCGCGGCCGTCTGCGCGGCGAGCGGGGCGCCAGGTGCCGGCGAGAGCCGCCCGCGAGCCCGCCCGAAAGCTGGCGGGAAGCCGGCGGGGCGCCGGCCGCGAGGCGGGGATTGGCTCGCCCAGTCCCCGGCCGCGAGGCGCCGCCGCCGCGCCGTCCAACCGCGTCCCCATCCGCGCGTCGCGGCTCCGCCTCCGCGCCGCCAAGGAGCATGCGGCGGCGGCGGCGCCAGTGGCAGGAGCGGCGCGCGTCGGGGCGGCCGTCGGAGCTCGGTCGCGCCATGGCCGCGCCGCTGCTGCACCTGTGGCTGCTGCTGGGCTGCGCCGCGGCGGGCCGCCCGGGCGCCCCGCGGCGCCGGCCGGCCTTCCAGGGCCACGTGCCCGAGAACTGGCCGGCGGGCACTCGCGTGAGCGGCCTGACCATCCCGCTGACGCGGCTGGGGCCCGAGCCGTGGTGCGCCAAGGTGCAGGGGCGGCGCTGGCACCTGCAGCTGCTGGGCGACGGGCACGCGCACTTCCAGGCGGCGCTGCACGCGCGCTCCGGGCAGGTGTGGCTGCGCACCACGCGGGCGCTGGACCGCGAGGCGCGCGCGCGCTACGCCCTGCGCCTGGCGCTGTGCTGCAAGCGCTGCTCGCCGTCCCCCCGCGCGCGCGGCCGCAGCGCCCCGTCGGAGCTGGCCACGGTCGCCATCGCCGTGCTGGACGCCAACGACAACGCGCCGCGCTTCCTGGCCCGCGCCGGCCCGGCCGCGACGCGCCTCCGCGTGGCGGAGACGCTGGCGCTGCGGGCGCAGGTGTGGCAGGCGCGGGCGCACGACTCGGACGACGGCGCCAACGCCGAGCTGCGCTACTTCGCGCGCCCGGGCAGCGCCCACTTCTTCGTGGTGCCGCGCACGGGGCGCGTGGTGCTGGTGCGCTCGCTGCTCAACGTGCGCGCGCCGCTCCCGCTGCGCCTCTTCGCCCGCGACCGCGGCCAGCCGCCGCTGCTCAGCGCCCCGCTCGACCTCGAGGTGCTCCCGCAGCCCGTCGAGCTGCC